ATATTTTTGACATCTAGATACATCACATTTTCATAGTAAGCGCTTGTTTGTGTCAAATTCTTGTCTCATTAAAATGAGTTTTCTGACCGTTTGCTTCAACTGGTGGGGCTCAGTACTGCAATTTCTTTCAGAGTTGGCAGACAAATTAATTTGTAATTTCTGGTTTTGCCACTGTCTTTGAAAATGGTACAAAAGTTGAGAATTCACGTGTGGTGGCACCTACTAGTCAAAGGTTGCCAATATGTATGTATTCACATTGACCTTACCACAACTTGTAGAAATTATTGAAGTTCCACTCCATTGCGTACAAGAATTCACTTGGCAGAAAAGGGGGGGAACGGTAAATGGGAAATTGATGTCTTAAAAAATTTTAAAATTGACGTCTACAGAAAAACGAAAAATTGATGTCTACAAAAATTGGAAAAAAAATTGTAGATTGATTTCTATTTCTTTCTATTTTATCTATTCGATCCTTCAAGTGACGTCTTTGGAAGTTACTCTATAAATACTCGTTTTTCCAACAAATTTCACAAAAGCATCGAACGTCGAATTCGTACAATTTTTTCTTTTTGGAACGAAGGTTCCTACTGATTTAAGCTTGGCAAACAAAAATTATTGGAGTCATCTTTTAAATCTTCTAGACATGAATTTTCTTTTCCTTTTCTTTTATTTATTTATACCAACATTTCAGTTTCTACACTTCAAAAAAAGACTAGAAAGGCCAAAATTATTATTATTATTATTCAATTTAGTTGTGATTAATAGGTAAAACAAAATTATGTAGATGTACACATCAATCACATTTGCAATCAAGATTCAAGCAACAATATCACGACAACAGTCGAATCCAAATGCCTTCTTTTATTCACGTACAACATAGACGATACAACTGGCACAGATAGGATACTCTCCTGATGATACAAATGCAAATATCGACTAATTTGACGTTTGACCTACGTTCCGTAACAAAACACACCGACATACATCTCACATAGCTTACAAAGACAATGGTTAAACACTTGTACATTTCATTTTGTCCAAATAGACACGTGCTTCATGTGATGTCCCCAAATGTGGTCTTCACGACTGCTGCGCCATGTAATCGCAAAGTTTATTCTACTCACTTCGTTGCATCTCCAACGCATTCAACTCGGCCTGAACTTCGTTCGCAGCACTGGGTAGCTTCACCTCGGCTACGTTCTCATCCGTTTCCGCTCTCGCGAACGCCCCGTCCACAACTCCAACACGACGTAGGAAATTATGAACACCCATTGTGGCCAGGACAACTGCAACTTGCGTATTGAATGAGTAGCTAGGCATTTTGTCAAAGATTTGCCACCTCTGTTTCAGCACACCAAATGCGCGTTCAATCACATTCCTGCACGAAAAGTGCCTGAAGTTGAACTTTTCACGAGCATTTCGAAACCTACGACGCTAACCCGTTTGTTCGTCACGAAACTGTTGGAAGTGATACTGTATATCCGAACCTTTGTACGGTGCCATATACCCCGGGCGATGCGCAAAACCGGAGTCCACCAAATAATATTTTCCTGGTGCCGACTGTGAAAAATCGATTTTCGGACTGTATATGGCATGAGCTAGCATTCTTACATCATACGTGTTCCCGATATAACCAGTAAGCACGAACGTGAAACACAAATTGAAATCGCATGCCGCCAACACATTTTGGGTCGGTACTCCTTTCCAATCGATGAAGTTCACACGCTCGTGACGCGGTAGCACAGCTTTCACATGTGTTCCATCAATAGCCCCAATGCAATTCTAAAACAGTGGATGCTTGTTCGAGTCAGGCCTGTGTGGCTCGACATCGTCGTTGTAATTCGATGTCGATCTTATAACACGTTCCGAGAGCGTCACAACTGCACGTAGCACTTCCTTAAAAAATGCACAAACAGTTTGCAAAGAATGGTTGAATAATGTTGTAACCTGTCGGTACCCCTTCACATGTGCGAGAATGCACAGGAACATACCAACTTTCTCGTAGATATCTACCTGCTGGCTACTAGTTAAGGCATATTGGTCTCGTAGAACATGTGCAAAGTGTCGTAACATCGACGGGCACATTCGGAACTCCTGATGGCATATCTGACCGTTCTCGCTCATAGCCTCCATCATGAACATGTGGCCATTTCTAACAAATGGAAATCGTCGAACATGATCGCGCTGTATGTGATAATATGTCCTTGCGTCGGTCCTGGCAGCAGCTGAAAATTTGACCCATGCCGTAACATCATTTGCGAGACGGCGAAACAACTCCTCCTCACTGTCTACATCCTCAGAGTTTGAGTGCGGCTGCAGCATGCACTCCAAACTCATTATGGGTAATGAAGCTGCTGCCTTCACGTTCCAACAGAAAACAAATACATATATATATAGAACATATGCACAAAGTTGCTTGCTTAAATAGGCCAGACAAGCTAGTGTAATGATTGTACAAAGAAAAAAAAGGCTCTGCAGGGATTAGAAGGAACACATTAGTTTTGTCATGGGCAGCAAGATTCCCTGACCTCAATTTTTCTTTTTTCCATGGGCAGCAAGATTCCTTGACCTTAAGTTCAAATCAAGATTGAGTGCAATGGTAAGAAACACGTTCAAATAGTTCTAAAATAACATTACTAACACATAAACGTCCGACTCGTCTGCAAAGAATGGGAAACAGTGCACAACAAATCGAACGTTACAAACAGGGGAGGGGCAAATACACTAATACATCCTTGAACAATGAACAGACGTGAAAGGTCCTAGTGGCGCGACTTGCCACGCTCATTGAACTGCCACTCGAGCACTCAAAATTTTCATCTGCATCCTGCATGACAAATAGCATATCCCAACAGCGCTTGCATTAAAAGTGTGCAGGCAAAGTAGTACAGCTGGGAGCGGCGCTGTAGCCGACCCACTGCGAGCAACTCTTCGATTACAGCGGCCCCAGCGTTGTCGGTTGGATTGATGATGCTATTGAGCTTCGCGACCACTTCCTCGGTTGCACTAGTAGCCCGGTCCACAGAATCGAACAACACCCGATCTGAAATTTTCTTCTGCTTTCCCTTACGCCCCCTCATGGATGACTGGCGTTTCTCGCCACTTCTAGCATTGGACTCATTCATGCTTACTGTAGCTGGTGTGTCGTCCCCCTCATCGCTAGAACCGGTGCCCTCTCTGTCGATGGAAACGCTGTTTTACAAATACAGCGAACCCTGTTTTACAAAACAGACTCGGGGTCGTTGCGTACTTGTCACCATCATGGCTTTCGCTCAATAGCTGACGATAGCAGTTGTAAATCTCGCTAACGTCTTTATCTTTAAACTCCTTGTACTTTTGTTCTCCTGCAATAACGAGTGGACAAAAGAATATTAGGATCGAAATAATTCCATGAAATCCTTGTTATCACTTTCTAATTTTGAAAGAATAGCCGAATTGTGTATTCGAACCAGATCATAAATTCAAAATATATGCATAATAAGACAGGTTAGTTACCCACGAAGCAACCAAATATATCTTCAACACACCCCTATTCACTCTATCCCGTCATCTAATTTAACAACAACTTACAGCCTATACCAGAAGACATTACTGCCCAATAAATAACATACGTGATAAGTGATACATATACATGCAAAAATATATACATTGATTTTTAATATAGCAACAGTTCAGCAGAATCCTGCTAAGGTTGATTGGAGTTCAACACTTCCCCAGATCATGTTTCTTGTTAATTAGTCGAGGATATAACTTTAGATAATAGCAATTTCAGTTTTAGAATACCAATACAGTAAATTCAATGGCAGGCAAAATTTTTGGGCTACCCTAATTACTCGAAAAAACTAACTTGAATCTGTATATGTTAAATTAACCAACATGGAGATCAAAGATCAGCAAATATAAATTTTCTTACCAACTACTTCTAGACATAATTTCATTGAAAAGAAGTTGTAATCAAATTCTTACCCAACACACAACCAATTAAAATGTAATTAGTCAAAGAATACCCGAATTGTGTATTCGAAACATTTTGAAGAACATCAAGCAAACACAAAATCCACCAAACTTCTTGTGTATTTCTCAGAATATGCTGATCTTGGATTGACAAAAAATGCCAGTCACTTATTACTAATTAAAAGCAATTTCAGACCATAGAGAAACAAATCAAAATAAAGAAAAATCTTTAGGTTAACACAATACCCAAAATTTGAACTAAATTAGAATATAAGAAACTCATGTTTTTCCTTTTGCAAAATTCAATAATTAAGAATTATCTAAGTTCATAGGCTTTCTTGAGCAACCCATTTCCTCGTTTCGCAAATGTCACATGCCGGTTAATCTTGTTCTCAATCCTCTTCAACTCCAGTCTCCCCCTACCCTTGATCTCTCTTTCCACCTTTATCTATATCACTATAACTCTATACAAGTATGTGTATATAGTTGAGTCTTTAACCACCTTTCTTCTGTTGGGCCTCTTTCTCTCACTCTGCACACAATTTTTTTGTTAACCTAAAAGAGACATATTTCATTCAGTTCTTAACTTCACTAAAATAGACTGAAGTATTATTGGAAAATTCCGATTCTGGAACAAATAATGCCATTGAAGCTCTAAAATTTCTAGAAAGTCCAATTGCAGCCATGGTAGGAACTCTAAGCTAAATACGAATCTCTCTAGAGAGGTTTGCAGAGTCAGAATTCTGTCTTATTTGTTACTAAACGAAATGGGGTCAAAGATGATGCAATTGGAGTTAAACCATTTGTTCTCTGCAATTGGAGTTATTCAAGACGCAGCAAAACATGTCTCCCTCTTTTTCTAAGACATTGGTTTAAAAAGCATTAACTGAGAACAGAACATGTGGTACCAGATGAGAGGCCAGAACTTACCCTGATTTTTCTCACCCACCATTCTTCGGATGCTACAACCCCGCCCATGGACTCATCATATTGGACCCCGCTGGAGGACAGGAGATCGCGAAGGCGCCCGTGATCGTGATGCATTGCGTCCCAGTGGTTCTGGAGCTGTTACTTTGTCCAATTATGGCCGGATGACGAATTGAACAACGAAACCACGCGCTCCCAGTCTTGTTTGGTGAAGCACCTGCCATGCCGATGGCCTCCGACAATTGTCGTTTCGTAGGCAGCTATGAATGTCATCCTCTCCGTGGGGTTCCACCTCGCATTTCTTCTCGATCCTCCCTCACTTGCAGCTCTGGGTGCCCTGAACGGTGCATGCTGTGCGCCGTCGCCAATCTGGGAAAAGGAGCAACTGGTCAGAACAAGGATGTAAGAAATTCGTCTTGCTCTCGCTAACATGTATGCTTACCTCACTGGAAGGTAGATCCATGTGGTTTGTTGCTGGAGTGTCGGAGTAATAAATGCTCTGGATAGTCAAGCCTCGTGAAAATTTTGTGCCACCGGCGCCGGGGAAAGGGTAACGACCAATTGGGGTTTGCGTAACACTTGCAATTTCTGGTAGAAGAGGGCTTGCTGGAGTGGTATTGAAGATCTTGCACTGTCGGTCGGTGTGATTTGGGAAAGAAAATGAAGGGCGAATGAGGGAAGTCAATGTATTCTACAGTTTGATACGTGTAGGGTGTCAGACAGCAAGTGGAGCTAACGGTCAAATTTCTCATTAAAATGAGAAAAAAAGGTGGCGCAAACAGGCCCTAAATGAGAAGATGTGAAGTTGTAAGTTGTCAACTTATCAAAAATTGTGTTAGAAGATGGTTTGGCTCCAAGTCACAATAATAGATTTGCTTCCTTTTTTGTTTGTCCCAAATTATAGGCCACTTTTCTTATTGAGAGTATAATTAATGTATTAATCTTTTCATATACACCTATTTAATGTACCATGTTATCAACAAATATGAGTTACCATCATTCTATATAGGAATATATCAAAAAATTTATATGTAAAATTTATAGTTCCAGTATATATTAATTAAGTTTTCTTAATCTCTGTGTGAAAATAGAAGTAAGTCTATTTTTATGGGATGCAGAAAGTATTAACATTTAAAGTTACAACAAATCAATAACGCTCCAACCTCTTGAGAATTGTCACTTGTAGATTCAATGAATGATAACAAATTGAGGAACAAGCTATTTGTACATATTTTTGGTATTTATGAATAAATATATCAAAAATAAAAGATTTTTTTGGTAATTTTTGTGTTTTTATAGCAATACCAATTTTTTGGCCTTTCATATTTTAGCAAATGAGATTTTAATGTGCATAGTGTAAATAACAATAACTAGCTATACATTAGTTAAATACATTCATCACCAAATAAAGTAGACTATATAAATACTCTCTATATAATTTATTAAAATAGTTAGCATTCAAAAATAAAAGGCAAATTAATGTTCTTGGATCACATATATAATTTATTACAAATATAATTTAATTTCAATTATACATATTGCTCGAGGTACTCTTCCACAGTAGTGTACTTAACCTCTGGATAGAGTTTAGATGCCTCATCTTCATCTCCTATCTTCAAACTGGTAAGGAATCCTTCATACAAAATATCATGATAATGGCTTAATCCCACTTGCTGACCAAAGTCAAGCGCTGATGTCATAAAAATCAAAAAACAAGTAAAAATTAGTTCCGATATATATTTTGTTGAAGCCAAATTTTAAATAATAATTATGTTTCATCTCAAACATCTTAAAAATTTTAGATGAGGGAACGAGCAAAAGACGTAGATTCAAGTCTCATTACTACTCATATACGAAAAATGTGCATGTGATAGGTCTGTAATAAAAAATTGAATATGATTTAGACACAAGGAGACGTGTTGAAGACAAGCTTAGTAGAAATATACACGGATCCTCTCTAAGAACATACGGAACTGAATATAATGTTTTTGAGATTGTACGTACCTTTTTTGGAGGCTAAGAAATCATCCTTAGATAGAGTAATCTTGTGCAGTTCTTTCCCAATAAGTTTCTCCCATTTCTGCACGACTTCTCTTTGGGAAAGTATGTTTTCAGGAGGACAAATGTAGATTGTCTTGTTGAGGGTTCTTGGATCATCAATTGTTTTGATAGTATAGGTTGCTATATCATCTTCATTCACATATATTCCTGCCCAAATCAAGACAAATCCGTATGAGAATGCGGACATGATATCAGAAATAAACCGATCTCATATCTCCCTTCAATTCAGATTAGCAAAATAAATATGCCAAGCAACTATTTATTTACAGACAAAATACGCCTCCGCAGAGTCGTAAGACCATAAATGACTTCAGTGTGTGATGTGCTTACCCTTTAGGTTGCCATCTCCATGTATAATGACATGATCTCTAGGAGGAAGGATTTTGCCAAATTGACATAGACCTCCCAGCCAATAGGCCGCAATACAGTTTGCAGAGACATAGGTGAATGGAATTCCAGCTTCTTCAATGGCTTTCCTCACCACCATCTTGTCATCAAAGGTCACCTTTCCAGGCTCCATTGCATTCTTCATTTTTTCAGCATCCATACCAAACTCTGATGGTATATATCTCTACAAAAATCAAACCCATCAGTTAAAATCTTGTCAATTGTCTTACTACATAGTCGAATCCAGCCGTCCATAGACTGTATACCAACCACACAAAATCATAATGAGCAAGCTTATATATTTTTTGAGTCATACTAAATTATCGGGATTTTTACAGACACATATTTCCATTTCGCAAAAAATTATTGACAGTTAAACAAAAAACAACTTTAAACAAGCCAATCCAGTTTCGCCACCTCATCATCCGTAAAAATCCATGGCGAAAGTACCTGTACAAGCAGCTTAATCCTGTATTTTTACCTTTACATTTCCAGCCTCTTTGATAGCTTCAACAAGCTTGAGTTGAAGCAAAATACTGTGACTCCGAATATGAACGCCGGAAACTGCACAGATTACGATGTCGACCAGCTTCACGGCCTCCACGAGGCTCTTGTAATCCTCGAAAGAAGCAGGTACAAGATGAGCTCCTTGCTTTTTGAATGATATTAGAGTTTCAACTTTATCAATATCTACACCAATCTCAGTATCAGGCCTTTGCATAACGTATGTTTCATGACCTTGGGCTAAACTTGCCTTGACCAATCTCTTTCCCATGTACCCCGTTCCACCAATGATCAAAACTTTGCTTTTTCCCATCTCTCTCTATATTGCTACAAAGAGAATCTGATCAAGATGATGTGGTTTATGGGTGAGTTTCTGGTATTTTTATAGTGTGTGAGAAATTTTTGATAGATACTATCTATCCAACAATTTATAAATTTATTTATTAATAGATGACATGATAAGATTTGACTGAGTCAAAATCTCTCCAATCAAATTAAAAAAACTCCAATTTTTCTACCATTAATCCAAATTACATAAGCACAATAATTTAAGTGGTAAAGAGATTTTAACAGTTCTAATTAAATTTATCACAACCTCATCAATCTGGAAAAAGAATGTATAAATAATGATATACAATAAGCATTTTCTCCTTCTTCTTTTTTTCCTTCTAATTTTTATATCCTCTCTCTCAAATGTATAAACTCCTTTCCTCTCACATAATTTGCCTATTTCGTTTAGTTAAAAGTCAAAATTTTAGTAGATTTTGATCAAAAAAAAAAATATATGGTTGAAAAGTTAATAAAAATTGTGAATCTCATTAAATATATACATTTGTGGAAATGGGCCAAGCTGGCTCCCTATCGCCCACGAGCCGAGCTTATGCTTAGCTCATTTCTTCAGGGTCGAGCCCTCAAGTTCGTGGCTCGTGGCCGAGCCTAGCTTTGGCTCACAAGCTCGAGATGATTTTTTTACAGCCCTTGTTTGATTCCCATTTTAGGTGAAATAATGCATTTTGAATAGTAAATTGATAAATAATGTGTAGTTAAAAATTAAAGAAAAATTTTGAATTTGTGTGTAAGATTATTTTATTGAAGAATGTGTTATTAAAAATGAGTTTTGAAAAAATAAATTTTTAGAAGAATGAGAATCAAACAATGACATATTTAGCCTCTGTTTGTTTTCCATTCTTTCCACATTAAAATGAAAAATATGACCGTTATCCATCACATTAAGCCACCAAATTTGAATTTCTATCTCTTGTGTGGGGTCCATAACGACTATATTTTTCATTCTCATTCTTATCAAAATGGGAAACAAACAGGATCTAAATAAAACACTCCTCCTTCATTCAGGCTAGGGACCAGTTACTTAAATTTCAAGTATTCATAGTTAAAAAATGTACATGAACACACTTGTTACATGTACAATTTTTTTTATAAAAAAAAATTTTAAAAAAAGTATTATAAAATAACAAATTTTGATTAATATGGTTAAATTAAATATTACTTACCTGATGTCATGCAATTTCAACATATTTATCCTGCAATCAAAAATTACTATCTTGCCAATCCTTCAAGCACATTAATGCTTCCAAAATATATTTTTTTAATTGGCTCCTGATCTCAGATATAACCCTCTTACTTGGATTAAAAGTAGACTCCGAAACTACAATGCTAACTAGAGGTTTTATTAGGTCTTTTGCAATCACAAAAATCACTGTCATCGTCATTTGTACTTTCCCTAGAATTCAATTATTTCTTCTAAATGTTTTTTAATTGTTTTGTTATTATGTATATTGTGATTAAAATAATCAATTAATTCAGCAGATAATGCATTTGGACTTGAGTCCGATGTCTGATTACATGCGGTACATGTAACGACCCAAATTATGTAATTTAAATCACCACTAAATAAAATGTATTCCAAATACATATTTTAAAAAAATTCATGCGTATCACATTCATAAAAAAATGTTAATTCCACCAAAAAAAAAAAAAAAAAACATAACACTGTTTTAAATTTATAAACCCCAATAAACATGTCTTAAATTTCTAGATAGAAATTCTTATGAAATAATCTAAGAAATTGTTAAAATTTAAAAATGTCTTGTTACACCGAATTATTTTATTTGGTTCCATAAAATCCTGGCACCACGATGCATCTCATTGCCCGCCAAACAACAACCCGTTGTAACATGTGACGAGTAGGGAATATGGTGAGTATATGGAAATTCTCAATATGATACGAAAAAATGGTGCAATCCCGAATAAAATATTAAATCATGCGTCATAAATACAATATCGTCATATCATATATTTAGACATCGATAAGAGCTTATAATCTATCATATCTTTGATATCGAATGGTCATTTCATAACATATCATATCATAACTTTCATTAGCACAATATCTATCAACATGATGAAATAAACTAAATATGAAAAATCATTTGCACCTCGTAATCCTACATTAACTGATAAGAAGAGTCGTTGGAAGAATAGTAAGAAATTCACATGCCCAAAATATTCTCTGTTGTCTTGTGTAAAATCGTGTACCAAGTGGTACAGAAACATATCATTCATCATTTGTTCGCAATTTGAGCACTTATATTTAAGAAAGACAACAATAATCCTCGTATAACCATATAAAATCCTTGTATCACACGTAGGGATGTCAAAAAGGCTCAACAGCTCGGGCGACCCGCAACCCGACTTGGGAAAAGTCGGAGCCGGCCCAACTCGTGGCTCGAACCAATGGAGCCGAAGCTCGGCCAAGGCCCATTTTAGGGACATGGCCTGACCCGCAAGCCCCCCCTCCCCCCAAAAGGCAGAATTCTGCCTTTAAAAAGGCAGCAAATTCTGCCTTTAGAAAGGTAGCGACCAAAAAAAAAAAAAAAAAAGAGGGCCAATGTAGCCAAGAAAAAAATCGAGCCGGCCCGACTCGAAAAAGCTCGAGACGAAATTTTTTGGCCGAGCAAAAGCTTGGCTCGGGCTCAGCTCGACTCGTTGACACCCCTAATAACACGTATTTTCCATAATAATAGGTCA